ATTGCGTAACCACAAAGCCTGAATGTCACCGAGTCCGGGCAACGACGTGAAGGGAGCCTCGTGCGGTCAAAAAAAGCTTCAGCGGGGGCGTGCGCCCAACTTTGCACCCCCCTGCTGGTGGTCTCCTCCTCGCCTGGCAACTGGCCAGCAAACCTGCTGGCCATTCGGAGAATGTCCACGAGGCACGTGCGATGCCCAGCACTCGCCTCTGCAGGTGGCATGGCATCTGCCGCCACTCGCAGCCGACTTGCTGCTAGCCTCGTGCGCTACGGAACATGGAGCGGCGTCTTGCTGCCTGACAAATCTCGCACCATAAGCCCGCGCCGGCACTCTGCGTGAACAACTTCCGAAGCGTCGGCCACAGCAGGTCCTGCCTCGACCTCGGCCTCCCTGCCGACTCGCAAAGTACGAAGCGAACACTTTCCATGCCGGCATCCCGCAAAAAAAACGCCCATGCACAAACTCATGAGGGGCACACCCAGCAACTCTGGCTACACCTCACACACTGAGGTCACGCGTGGTGAGGTACGACTGACGTGGCGCGCAAGAACGAACACCGTTCACCTGTCCTGCCCGAAGTGGACAAACAGTAGCATCCAATCAGAAAAAACAGTGTTTGAAGGCTCTCCTTGCTCTACGCCTTCGGCTTGGCGCCGATGTCGAGTGGTGGCACTTTGATGCCACACGAAGGACGACGGACTACCCAACCAAAGCCTGGCAAACGAGAGTAAGGCATCTGCAGAAGGCTGGGACCAGAGTTCCTGTAGGTTCGATTGTATCCCTCGTGTGTTATAGGTGCGCGATGTTCAATATTGCCGGATGCAATATTGAACGTGTGGCTTCGAAAATTTTGCAATGAGTTTTGAATGTAACGGATCCATTCTGCAATAAGTCGACTGCACGACAGGCATGTTAAGCAAAGGCCCTCTAGAACAGGGTTTGGGGCAGCTCAGAAATACTAGTGTTAAAGCACGTAACAATAACAATACCGGCAGAAATTTATCATAACAAGTTCCAACAAAAGGCAGACAAAAGGGACGGCAAAACTGGAATTGTTGTCTGTTACAGCCCGCCACAGTTCGCCACAGTTGTCGACGTTTCGCAGCTGTGGTCCGGCTCGGCACAGGTGGTCGGTATGGCCATGGAGTACGCGTTAGTGTGATAGCAAGGGCTGCTGTAGACCCGAAGGGCGGGCACCGCGCCCAGACATGCGTAAACAATCACAGGATGACCTCGCAGCAACGGAATAGGAACGATGGCCGAGTTGCGCAGCTCGCTTACAGCAAAAACAATTCGGCGGCCGGTGAATTAGCCGGCTTTCCATTGCAACTCCGCCCCCGGTCACTTCCGTCACTTCCTGAAGCAACTCCACCCATAGATGTAAGTGTCCTGTCCCTCTGCCTCAGGAAGCGACGCACAATCTGCAGAATATTTTTTATCCGTGAGGCAGAAGCCCGGGAAAGAAGGGAGCGTGAAAGCCGAAGCCATGCTGGAGTATACACACACAAGATAGAATGCATAGAGGCACGCAAACCATCGCAAACTCAAATCCTTTTTTCCGGGGCACGGAGGCACGTGCGGCACCGGAATTCCACGGCAACGTCACGTTGCCTCGAGTGTATTATAATTTATTGCATTATTGCAGAATAAACCGAAGCCCTGTGCAAATCGGAGTACAAGGCACGAGAGGCACCGGATTCTGCAATAAATGAGCCCCAGCAGCATCTTGGTGATTCCACGGCAGTGTCACGTTATGTCACGTTGCCTCGTGTATGCTGCAATGATACCCTCAGGTACTGTTGGGTCTACCCGGGCGACATTCCAGACCCCAAACCCTGAATCTTATATCCAACCCTAGGGTCACGCGCAGGGTCATTTTAGACCTTCACGCCTTGGCCTATGAGGATGTCTCTGTTATGGCAGTTGTGGCTCGGCATTGCTTCAGTACTTTCAGTACGTTTTAATTCCCGTTCCCGTTCTGGCTCTTGCGCTTTTGCGTGCTAGTCCCTTGCCGGCTTGGCTCCTCCCCGGTCCCAATTTTTGTCTCTGGTTCCGCCTCTGTCCGTTTCGGTTCCGCTGTGGTCTGCGCTCAGCTCCGGAACTCTCGGGTTCGTTGTTCCATTCTGTTCCAAACCGGTTTCGGTTCGGATACCCCTCCCGTCTTGTGGCGGTTGGGCTGTGGTTGTGCGGTGCTGGTTTCGCTTCGGATCTTGCTCCGGTCCAATTGAGTTGCACTGAGTGCGGGGGCCCACTTCCGAGGTCATCCGTCGCCGCCGCCCCCGCATGATGTCGCCTCCCAAATGTCCCACTTCGCCACTGAGAGACTGGGAGCCTGGACGGCGTAATCCGCCGAGGCCACAGGCCCAGGCGTCTTGGGGGTTAGCTCAGGTTCCCTCCACCTAATCCTCCTCCCTGCAGTCCAAATGTTTGGGACACCCGCTTTTTGCGTTCGTTTGCCACCCCCTTGCCCGGCTTCCCCTCATTTTACCTGATTTGTCGGCCTCCCCCCCCCCTCCCAGGCCTCCCCCCTCCCCCCTCTCCCCCCCCCCCCCCCCCCCCCCCCCCTCCCCCCCTCCCCTACCCATTCCTCGCACTTCGAACAACCGGGTTTGACAGGCCGCCCTAGCATAAAAAAACATCGACTGCCCCCTCACCCTGCCGCTACACAGCCGAGGCGGGCGGCGTAGCGTTAAAATTACTTAATTTTCGTTTTGCACATGGATTCTTTCTTCGTTTTTTCATCGCTGCGCTTCGGGCTGAGTTCGGCTGGGTTGGGGTGGAAGTGGTTTACTTCGCAGGTCTCGTTTTGGATTGTCGGCTTTGGGTCGGTGTCTCTCCCCTGTCGGTTCCGGCCAATTGCGTTCGTTTGGGTTCTGTTCCGGCCTGGATCTTGTTTTTTCGGTTTCACTAGGCTTCCCTCAGCTCGCATTTCTGACGAAGCCCTGGCAACCCTCTATGGATGTAGAGAAGAACGAATCCAAGAGTGCTCCAAGCTGAGCTTCGGGTTAAGAGCACTCCACCAGCGCCTAGCCCAGCCGGCGGAGCGCCGGCGGCCGCCGCCTTCCTCATTGCAGGGCGTGCGCGGAGAGCCCCAATCGAATGGGGTCCTCCGAAATTTGTTCAAGTATTTGCGGGCTGTCGAACTGTCGCCTCGAACACCGGCGACACATACACCTTTTTCCCGGCATGCAAAGTTAAGCGGTCCCAGTGGTTGTTGAATCGAAATACGCTTGACATTACCGCACGAGCGGAGTGCCACAACGACCGCATGGGAGAGCCCGTTCGCGATAACTTCGATGCGGCGGTCGTCGGAGACCGAAACATCGATTCTCATGTCAGCTAGACGAACGTTGTGGGCACGTCGGAAATCGCACATGCAGCCGCATCGTCGCCGAATGGGTCAAGGCGTCCCCAACAAGCGCACAGGCGCAGTGCGACTGAGGGCGTTAGGCGAGAATACCTCGCAGCAAGAAGCGAAACAGTAGTGGCAGCATCGTCAGCTCAGCTATATAAGGTTGGGAAAACTGCGAAGGCGCACGCAGTGTGTGGTCCGGCCTGCGACAGCAGCAGTGCTCGAGATCGCTCGAGATGCGGCATGATGGGCCGAGAATCATTTCGCAGCATGCCTGCACAAAGGACTCCCGAAACACGAAACATGTCTGACTGTGGGTAGTGTGCGAAGCTGTCGGACCAGAAGGGGAGTCGTTCCGCAGCAGTGGCTTGTTGATGCTACGGCACTGTCGGATGACGGCGCAGACGCCTCGACCTGGTGAACGTTGTGCTGCGATAAGATGCTCGTATCCCCGCGCTTGAACGGCACGGCCGGCCACGCGAGGCGCTGCAGGCCAGGACGGCAGCACCCTCGAGCCCCCCGTGCACTGCAAGGTCGCACGGTGATGGGCCGTTGGAAGGTTACGGTGGGTTTGCGGAGACCTCTGAGACGCTGGGTCCGCACACGCTGCAGAAGGTCAAGAGCTGCGCGCCCAGTTACTTGCTCGAACTTCGTCAACCTTCCTCATGCGCATTTCTTGCTTTCACCGAGCACCTCGACTCTGGACGAAACTTCACCATTTCAGGGACGTGCAGCGTGCCGCACAACCAAAAGGCCAAACCGCGCTCATCCAGATCCATGGCTGCGGTGTGGGCTTGCTTGGACGAGGTCGACTTAGCCAGGGAACATGCCCGCCGCGTGCAACCCACACAATGAACAGACGCGTACAGAGAGTACCCTCGGGGGTAAAGGAAGTGGTAGACCAACAATGACCAACAAATCCAAGATCATCTTCCAAGACATCTTCCAAAATTTATGGTGGGCTCATGAAGGGAGCCTGACCGCGCACACTTACAGTCAATGAACGCCATCGCCGCAGCACGTTGGATGCTGCCGCTGGTCGGCAAGACGTCATGACGTACGTCCTTCCTTCCATGCATGCACACCGCCACAAAGGCCTTCAATCTATCGCATGTCATCGTTACTTCAGTTCGACCCTATTCAACATTCAGCTTGTTTTACATGCACCAAGCATCTTTGGCATCTTTGGCATCCGGCTTCTCTGTGTGAGACGGCACATGTTCGGGCATGACACGCTCAGCATGCCGGTATGCACTTAATTCCGGGACAAGCGAGGTGACAGAAGAGGCCCGTGTGACACATACGAGTAGCAGTAACAACTTCAACAACTAAGAAGGACTTGTCACTTGCCGGTCTATAGCCGGTCTCGTCGTTGTCATTACAGGACTTCAGGAGCCTTCCTGGTGGCACCCACGCTTCGCTACATTTACTCTGGTGGCTTTGCCAGCAGCTCGCAGCATGTCTGCGACATGAAGAGTCTCCTAGGGGCAGAGCTGCAGAGTGCTTCGCCAGCACGTCACCACTGCGCCCAGGAGTCATTAACGAGGTTTCAGAATGTCGTAGTGCCCAACAGATTACCTGGCCGACTGACGCAGTGCCAAGCCTCATGTCACGCTTGGCGCCCGGGAAATACAAGGCCGCGGCAAGATCACTCCTTCCACCCAGGCTTGGAGTCCTTCCCCTGCGCAAGATCAGCCACTTTGGCCCACATAGAGCTCTCCGCATTCCTCAGCGGGGTCGGCAGCGCTTCTCGACCTTTCCCAAGAGCACTGATCGGACCGAGGGCGTGGCGTGAAGACGGGCTCTTCCTCGGGCTGGTACTTCTCCAGCTCCTGCGGAGGCCATCTCCTCGGCAAAGGCTCCGATGCGTCGGAGTCATCTCTCCTCCAGCTCCTAGCTCCTGCTGCTGTAATTACTCGTAGTGGCCTTCGGAGCCTTCTGCATCTGCTGACTGGGCCGCCCGACAGAGGGGAGAGCTGGGGCAGCTTCCGCGAGCGCTGCGCCGAAGTCGTCTCCTCTGGCCTCCGGCGGAGTGAGTTTTCCTCTATTGCGGTATATCTCAGAGAAATCTGGGTGATGTCAACTCTAAAGTCTAGCCAGACAGAAGCTAAAACTCAACGGAAGAATCACACATGTCTGCATGAGCTGGAGTCTGCTCTGAGATGACTGCGCCAACTGGCTCACGAAAATGGAAGTTGGCGGACCGGGATCATCGCTTTGCTCCCTGGCACAAGCTTTCTTCATTCATCCCCTGTCTGTGCGTCTGTATGGTATGGCTGCACAGGGGTCGGGGCACAGTTAGATTGTCTGAGCGTCCTCGAGGTGAGATGGTAATACAGCCAGAAGTGCCAAACGCCCGCAAGGGCAGTGTCTATGTCGACGTCCACATTGTACATAGCCTCCTGTTGCTTGCATCGAGAGCTTCTTGCGGGTTTCTACGTGCTGAGAACACGAGACGCCGTCCTCCCAAGCCTCGTCCTTGCCTATCAGATTCACGGAATCCAGCGCACAGTTCTGGAAAACTCGCAAGAAGTCCAGCCTTCCGATGCCGGCGAGCCGCTCCGCGGCGAGCCGCTGCGTGGCGAGCCGCTGCGGGGGGAGCCACTCCGTGGTGATCCCCGCGGCGAGCCACGTGGTGAGCTCCGTGGTGAGCGAACCCGGGCCACATCAGTCGGACCTGCAGAACTAGGACCCTTCCGTCCAGTCAGCGAGTAGCACCATGGCCTCTGTTGGCTGCAGCCTTCTTGAGGTTCCGCATTGCACCCTGCAGGTGCCGGACTCTGCGTGACACAAAGTAGTAGTTTTCCTAGGACATCTCATGGCATTCGACGGTCTATGAACCCGCTGCCTGGCAGCAGCAATGCCAATCTTTGTAATTGTAAAAGTTTGCGACTGAGCTCGATTGTTGCGTTTACATTCCAGGACATCCAGGAACCGCATCCGATACGACTCTTGTTTCTGCACTCTCTGCATGTGGACATGCAAGCTGCAACCCGCGGCCTGTCCCGAGCGACTGCGTTGCTTCCACTCCCATCGCCTGGTGAAATGCAAGACTGAGAAAAACAAACCGCCAGATAAAGTAAGGGTGATACTCTTCCTTGCTTGCTTTACCTGTTTCTTGACGAGCGGCTTCTTGCGGATGTAAATCGCTGTTCGCCTGGCCGCGGAAGCAAAGGCCGGAGAGTGCTTCCGATCGCGAGCATCACCGCCGTTCGCCTGGCGATGACGATGTGCGCGATGAGGATGGCGTCCGAGGGCGGCTCCGGGGGCAGCTCCTGGACTGGAAACTCTAAAGGCGAATCTGGCGAAAGCGGCCCAAAAGCCAGAAAACACGGTCCGGAAAGGCGGCGTTCCAAGTGCGAAGAGCCTGCTCATCGAGTTCCGCCTCCGCTGCGGTTTTGTCAAGAAGGCAACGGCGCCGAGGTGTGTTGTAAGGTGAGTCCAGGAGGCGCCCACCGCGCCTCTTGAGGATGGAGCAGCAGCTCCCCGCTGAGGAACAGCACCCTGACACCGCCAAAGCGTACCGCGGCTGGCCGGACACGCAAAGAGGCCTTCGTAGTCGTAACTAGCGACATGCCGGGTGGACGAGCGCTGCGCCACCAACTTCACGACATCCCGATAGGCCAGCATGCTGGCAATTTGCCGGCATGCTTTGAATGCTGCCCGAATTTGCTTGTGCTTCCTGCAAGCTGCGCCTTCCCTCGTGCACTTGGAGGTTCATCAGGGATCGGAGCAGCTGTCGCCTTGTCGCTGCAGGGTGGCCGGCCAAGGTGCAGATCGTCACTTAATCGAGCTATGTCGAGCTGCTGTGTCGTCAAGCCAAGCGACTTCTTGAGGCCGATGAAGCCCACTGGCTGAGGGATGCTGAGCAGGATGTTCTCCTCAGCAAGGGTTAAGGGCCAACGGGGCACTACACTGGACTTGGCAAAAAACCGAGCATCATTGGCTCTCGGCCCCGAGCAACCTCCGCCACGTGGAGGTACCCCAGGAAGTTCCTGTCGATGTCGACCCAGGAGTCCCGCCTGGCTCGGAGCTCGTGGCGACAGGAGCCCCAGCCCATGAGCCCGGAAGACTCTGTGGAGGCTGATCTGAGCTGGGCATCGGGCAGTGCACGCAGGCAAACCATGAAGTCCTCGCCGCGCTCAGAGCTACCCGAACCTTCATTGACACGACATCGTTTGGAAGTCCTCGAGTTCAATGAGCTCGTGCACCTGCCCGTACCTGAGAGCGCCATTCTCAGTACGGCGACATCAATGTGGCTGCCGCCGACAGAAAAGACAGTGGGAGAAGAAACCTTTACGGAGCACGCATCCAGCACCGTCGCAATGATCAAGTTCATCATGTTGAAGAGGACGATCAGGACGTAGCTTACGAAATACGGATACCTGCCAAAGCATGCCACGGCATGCCACCGCATGCAGGAGACCAAGACTGCATGGCTCACGCGAACATGCTGCCGCATCCACGAGGCCCGTTCTGTTGTAGATCCTCTTTTGCAGCATTTTCCGAACTAGCTCGTCCGCATGGTCGCAGCTCAACTGGTTTCGTCCTCGTAAGTCTGCGCCGTCGTGGTGCAGTTCGGCTTGTCTTCGGCCAGGTCATACATGATGTCGTGCCACCTCGCTCAACGACCAATCATAATGCTAGGATCCCAGTCAGCAACCAGAAACATGAGCACAAGCCTCTCCCCTGTCGCACATCGGATCATCAGCAGAAGAGCATTGTTGAAGCTGTAGAAGTTGGACTGTCGTGGTGGCGGCAATAGATTTTTCTGTCGTTTTCTGTCATGGCACTGGCCTGTCGGCCGTGGCTCATCGAGACTCTCATATCTCATATCTCTCATAAACATGCAGGCAGGGCATCGGACAAGGGGTAGCTGCCGTCGATGGCCGATTGCGCAGCCTGTCGGTGCGGGCTTAAGCCGTCAGGCCGTGATGGCCCGCTAAGCCGCTACGCTACCACTTCATATCACTACGCTTGGCAGGTCCAGCAAGAACTTGAGAGCTGGTCACGAAAGCTAGAAGCACGAGGTCCGGTGCTGAGCTCTGCAAAGCGATGTGCACGACAGTAGCGGAGGGAAAGTTTGGGCCGGTGAAGGGTGCAGGCGTTGCTCGTTCATTTAACTCTTGAGAAAGTAATGTGCGAACGACAACTAGAAGTAACTCTGGAGAGAAGACCGCACTTCAGTCGCCGAACGTCAGACACAAACAAGACCAAGGGACCTTCAGGAGGGGGGGGGTGGGGGGGGACCTCATGATAGGGGAGGGGGGGGGGCCACCCCCCTCCCCCACCTTATCCCAGGCACAACCACCTTAAAGGAGGGGGGGGAGGGAAGCGCACCTTATCAGTGGAAAACGCATAATGACAAGGTGAAGGGGGGGCCCCCCCCCCCCTACCCCCCACCTTAACTCTTGGACGTCCCACCTGATAAGGTGCAAACCCTGTTTTTTCCCTAGTGCCTTAATACAAGTGAATTGCTAAAGGGCAACTCCCGCGAGCTCCACAGAGCTAGCTTTCGTGATGAACACATCTCCTGGCGCCCGCCTCGTCTGTGCTCATAATAGTACCGAAGAGCGACACGCCCAGGCACGCATACCTGAAGCTCCGGTAGTATGGGGGGGTGCCGACAAGGCTCGAAGACTGTGAGCCCGCAGCATGAACATGAGCAGCGTCAGGAGCGCAGAGACCTGGAAGAGGCCAGGCCTTACTCAGTTCGGTCAAGCTCCGGATGTCCAAAGTGGTGTCTATGCGAGCCGATCCAAGTCCTGCGCAAAGCCACCCAGATCGTACTGGTGATGCTGTCCATGAACCAGGCGTAGCGAACCTGAGGGACCAGGCGGCCTTTGGCCTTCGCTGGTGCGGTGCAGGCCGAGCTGGAGGCCAGCATGAGTATGCGCAGGATTTGGAAGCCGCCCAGGATTTGCGTCATGACCCCCTGGATACTTATGTGGAACATCTCTGTAGCTGATGGCATTTGCACCACTTCGGCGCCTTTTCGGCGACGAGGGCATTGACCAATGCACCGATCAAGGACCTGAGCTTCAGAGCTGAGTAGAGCTGGAGAGCTGTTTGGAGGCTCTGAGGCGACGGCCCGGTGATGGCAAAGCTGTCGTAAGCATGCCACTTGTCCTGTGACGAGCTTGCGATGTGCGACTGCCTGCGTCCTCGTTGATCCAAGGCACAAACCTTGAAAAAGTCCCGGCTGTACACGAAGATCTTGATCGCAAGCTGGCAATGTGACAACAGCAAGCTGGTCCGTGTTCGCTCGCACGGCAACACTCTATGCTGCACCATTGAGCCCGAAGTCAGGTCGCTCAGGGAAACTCTGCCCTCGTTGCAGGCGGGCCTCGAGTGCGAAGAGCCCCAACAAGAGTCCACTCACGATCCTGAATCGAGATGGTCGGCATCCGGTACTTGCAAGAAACAGGCACCACCATCTTCCCGTCGTTCCTGATTACATTGTCCTACCTTCATTCTGGGGTGGCCTGGGGCCTGCTTCAGCCGGTCCTCCGGAACTCCAGCAGCTCGGGGAAAATGACCGGAGAGATGCCCCTCAGTGACTCAGTGGTGCTCTGCTTCAAAGCGCCGCAACCAAGGGAGCTGAGAGAGCCGACAGCACGATTGCATTGCTCAGGATGCCCACGAATATGATGCTTCGCGAGATCCGGTGCCTCCGCCCACAGCATCAACGACTATTCCGCGGGTACGAATTCGAAGGCGCTGGCTCGATGAACCATTTCAGCCGCTTTCGCGTTGCAAGGCAGCACTTGCCTCCGACATGTGCAAAAAGGCTCGTACGATTCGTCGGTGTGTCAGGAAGGATCGAACGTCCTGAAAAGCTGTTGTTCCTGCCTCGGACATCGATTCGCGGCGGCGGGAGAAGGACTTCCTGCAATGAACCAGTGAGCAACTAGGCAACACACCTTTCACACATTCGTCATATATAATATCCATGAAGAGCGTGCAGACTTCTCCAACTGCTTTTGTATCGGTGATGCGGTCTGTGATTTCGGACTTCATTCGAAGTTTCTCATAAATACTCTCGCATTTCTTACAGACATGTTTCTTTCGAAGTCAAGATGACCGACCGTTGCCGGTAAGGTGGAGAATGCGGAGTCGGACTTCTCGGCGAATGGCGGCCTTGGAGTCACCCGGGCGCTCCCTGGCCACATCGTCGCACATCGTCCTCCAACTCGAAGACCGCTGCTGGTGCACGTCGGCGAAGATGTTGCTGCGGATCGTGAGAACTTTCTAGCAAATCTTGTACCAGCCGACTATGCCTATCGAGTGGGAGCCAGTTCGAAATTGATGTCGAAAGATGGGCTTCCGGATCCAGCGGCGTTTCGCCGTGTCCCAGAACGACTCGAAGTACACCTTGGCATACCAAGTGTTGCCTTGCTCGATTGCGATGTGCCATCCCGGGGGCTGGTTTTCGTGGTCCTAGTCCCTGTCGCAGTAGTTGGTGCGGTCGAAGTTGTCGTGTCGCTCTCCTCGAAAATTCCCCGGTTTGGCCAGGATCGCCGGAGACAAAGAGGAGCACTCGGGGTACCAGATGTAATCCTCGCTGTTGCCCATCGCACATTGGTAGCAACACCGAAGTAGCGGTTTCGCCAGTCGTCGATGTTGTCGGGGTTGATCACCAGCAGGTAGTGCGGCGGGAACAACATGCCACAGAGAGTGCAGTCGAGGGACTTCTCGTGAAACTTCGAGGTCCTGTCGTTCGTGATGCAACGAAGGTAATCGGCGATGCGGTCGACATGTTTGGCCTGCTCCACGTCGACTCCACACATCAAAATCACCGGGCGAGGTGGACCGTCTTCATCGACGTCCTCGCCAGCGAGCTCTCGCCGCCAGATCCCTCGAAGTTCATCGTCAGAAGCGGTCGGGAACCTCGATCGGAGTTGACCGATCCCCATCTGACCCCATCTGCTGGGAAACTGCACGGAATGCTCTCACGTCGAGAGCACCTTGGCTTGCGTCGTTATCGTACAACCGACGTTGCTGCTTGGCCTGTCGACCTTCGGATTCCGGTTCGATGCCAGCTAAGAACCAAGCAATCGGGATCACGGGGCCAGCTGTCGTAGACGGCTCTAGGAATTGTTCGATCGGATCTTGCTGGCTCATCGGCTCTGTCGCCGTGAGTTGTTCGATGGGCTCAGAGTGCATGGGGTTCGGGCTGTATCCGGACACCTCGAAAAATCTGCGGGAATTTCTAGAGAAGTTCAACTCGAGCATAACAGCAAAAGCCAGTCAGTCTCCTACCTACGCCAAGAAGAGCCTTTAACAAACAAGTCCTGGTCACGAGTTAACTGAACGGTTGTTATTCTCGAAGCGAACTTCGAAATGGTCCCACCGAGCTTCGCCTAGGCGGAATCGGCCTGACAAACGAAATCGGCATCAGTCCTTTTCGGAAGAGTATCCCAAGTCCTAACTCTTACACAATGGGAGAGGATCGGCGAAACTCAACTGCCGAAGTCAATCGATCTCAGAAGATGGTCCGCCGAGCTCACATTAAGACGTTCGACCATGATCGATACCATGTCGGGCTGCTGGACGACCCAGGTCCTCATACTCGGCGGGATGCGACGCCAATGCCATCTTGGATTGCAAGATGGCATTGGCGTGTTCTCGTAGAAACTCGGAAGCCATCCCAGAGGTCAAGGTCATTTTAGACGATGCAGCAGTAGCGTAGGCGAGCCAAACGATCATTGTTGACACTCGCGCGGCGAAAATCGGCGAGAGGGCACATCATCGAGTGTGTCAACGTAGCCCTGGAGTCGGTGAAGTTATTCGGGACGCCCAACCGGAGCACTGGCTTCGCGAAGAACATCTCCGTTCGGAGCATGCGCCGCCACATCGACGAACAAGCCGGGGCGGGTAAGGAAGTGCCCAGCAAGACTTGCTCGAAGATGACCTGCCAAGGAGCATCGCTGAAGAACGTGCCAAGAGGATGATTCCCAAAATGGCAGCGCCTCGTTGTTGGCCCCCCCACCGGCACTTGTGACAGTAGGGCTCCGTGTAGATCACCGGGACACAGTCGAAGCCGAAGCGACGTCCGGGATCGGGTTGGAGCTGGTCACGTCGAGGGATGTCCTGCACATGTTAACCTCGAAGGTGCGGCCAGGTCAACCTTTCAGAGAAAGGAGGCTCCACCGTCACCGGTATCGACGTCCCATACGGGTTCAGCGCCACGCTGACCGATGCCATCGGAGCTGCGCGTTGCACGGGCTGTACCCAAGAAGGCCTTGACTCGAGGTTACGGAGGTTAACTTCGGATGAGACAGTCACTATAAGTCATGCGGGGCACGAACGGTCGGAATCAACCTGGGCCTGGGTCAAATCGAAAGTCATCGGAGTTCGGAGTCGAGCTTTAATCTGAACCTGAATTGCCTCAGTAGAGTAGAGCCAGAAGATCTCGTCGGTGGAGGAATTGCTAGTCGGACGGAATCGGGGATGTTGGCGTTGACCCACTCGTCAGCCCAATCAGTGTCACGTCGTCAAGCTTCACGCAAGGTCCGAGCCACTTCGTCCATCTGGTGCCACAAATCATCAAGCGGATCGGGATCGGTCGATCGTCGGGGAATCACCGGATCTTCTTGCACCCCGATAACTTCGGTGATCACCGGTGCGCTTGTCGGCTGAGACAACCACCGCGGTGCCGGGGATGCTGCTCTCGTGGTCCGTTCGGGTGTCGGCGTAGGTGTCGGCGTCGACCCCCTCGGTCCTGCCGCCAAACCTCGGTGCAGTGGTTGAATCCGAGTCGGTGTCATTCGGTGTCCACGTATGAGAGGTTGAAGAGAAGTCTGCCGGGTTTCTGCATTGTTACCCGTGGCTGGTGGGAATGACCCTCTGCCGCGACTCGGTGTGGCTGGCCTCGAGTTCGTCCAAGAAGCCATCGGTGGTCTCGATGAAGCTCTTCGCGGAGAATGTCCTCGAGGTGAACGACAACACAGTGAGTCCCACAGTGCCGATTCCGAATCTCTCTTCGATGGTAAGCGGCCCGGATGCTCAGGACGTATTTCGAGGCTTTTTCTCGATTGACCTGTCGAAAAAGCCCTCCGTTAATGGCTTTGAAACTGATAAGGGGCGTCCTCGCATGGTCACCTCAAGTTCGAAGGCAGCCCAGATGGCCGCCTCAAAGTTGTAATCGTGTTGATTCCAACATCGTTGAGGATACCTGGAACCACTTGTGGCAGATCACATCTGGCACGACCCAACGGTCGTTGATAAAGTCCGGATGCATGAAAGGGGAGTTCGGGCGATTATTGCAGTTTTTGCTCGCCATGTATCGCCGGCAAACCGAAGCAGGAATCACAACGACAGTAATAAAATCTCGAGTTCGAGTCTTGTACCAAACTGGCAACGGAACATGTAAGTTTCCTGGTGATCGACTTATGCAGATCCTCGGAGTCGATCGGCTTAGCATGAAAGCAAAAAGTTGTCACTTCGCACAAAAGTGTGCTACACAAACGAGAAGCAACGGATATCTGGACGCGCACCGGATTGAGGAGGACTTCCCTCTGCAGCTTCTTGATCAACCTCTCCTGCGGCTACAGTTGCCACGGTTCCATCTGCGAAACCAAGCTTGCGTGGATCCGCCCGACCTCTGAGGTGTTGTTGCTCTGACCCGAGAATTCCGCTTTCGTACTGGTGTACCTCAAACGCTCTCTGCGTATCCGCTGACAGCATACGTCTCAAGCAGACCATCCACGTTGCAAGGGCAAGGCTGCTGGGGACTTTCACTAGACATTCGAATGCTGCTTAGCGAAAACGAAATGCAGGCAAAGAAGACTGCAGAAGTCGCACGAGTCCACCAAAATTCCGGTCAGCAGATTCCTGGCTTGACAAAACAGTCGTACATCTCTTGGCGGAAGGCTCGATCTTCAACACGCGACCGGCTGACAACAGGAAGAAGTTCGTCAAAGCCTTGGTCTCCGAGTCTGGGCAGCGAAGCGGCTTATGCATAACAGTTACTGCAAAGGAGCCATGAAAATCACCACAGGGATCGCCTGCTCCACCCTGGTCTTCGGCCTCGGCCTCAGCGCATCCGCAACTCCGCCCCGCTGGTCCCGGCACCCGAGCCCACGGCTGCAAAGCCACACCTGCAGGCCGCGAGCTGGTGTTGCGTGGAGTGTGTGTCTGGCTGCATCTCTTGAAGTGCCTTGTGCCCCTATGATGTTCAGTGTCACATCGATCCAGCCCTCGCCCGAACCAATGTGCAGCAAGGTGACCTGCGGGAACGCAACGATGACACTCCGTTGATTTTTGACCACAGCACATGTGGGGAGTGGCGCACCAAGGAATATGTCACCGCATCAAAATGGGACACGCTGTTGACCCATTCTCCGCCTGCTACAAGCAGCATCTTATCAAGACACTGACATTGGTGCATGCTGGCCTGCTTTCAAGCAGTCTTTTTGTGTCACGATCTCTGGCATGAGATCTCCTAATCCAGTCGAACAACTATTTGCACGCACTTCAGTTGTTCAGACTTGCTGGCCTTCGTTTCATAAAGCCCTCTATCATTCACACGTCTTCAAGTAATCAATACTAACATGAACTTACACCATGACAACTTCTGACATCTGCCGACGTCGTCCTTGCGGATCAAGCGAACAGTGATACAGAGCACCTGCGACGGGGAGGCACTCCAGCAACTTCACTGCAGATCCTGCATGATTCTTATTTTGCCGAGGAACCCTTGAAGAAGCCCACGAAGAGCAGACCGAACCCGAGGTAGAAGAGAGCGCTCACCATTGTCTGCAATTTAGCGAAACGGGCATAACACCAAACACTCCAGCATGGACAGTGCTGTGTGCACACGACAAACAAGCCATGACAGGTAGGCCATGTTGATGAGCGTCGGAATGGCTGCAAGCAGCGACTGGCAAGACGAGACATACTTGAAGGTGGCACGATGTGGAACAGAAAAGACGGCCTCGATGATCAACCGGACGGAGCTGGTCTTTCCAATCAATCGAAGCGGCCGCAGCATCGACACCATTTTGAGCGCGCGGACCTGGAACGTCTGACTGAGTCGCTGCAGGTCACCAAGCTCTGCGTCAGGTGCATCTCCGGTGAAAGGCTGAGCGTCTGCACAGACTTCAGTTCTGCCAAGTTCGTGGTCTGGGAAAGACGACGCTTCGACACACTTGCAGCGAAGCTCGGTCACACAACACCAGGATCCGGACGAAGAATTCTGCCATCAAGTAAGTCAACCCACCAAGGCAAATCACCTTCGGTTCGGATGGAGCCAAGAATAATCCTGCTCTGACGGTCTGCACCTGTCTGCACGATGCTCCGAGGGCCACGCAAAGTCCAGAACGTGCCAGGGCACACGGAAAAAGCCGGGCCTCAGATGGATCCAACAGACATTGCTGCTTCGCAGGGCTTAGGAGTCCGAAGGTGCCTTCTTGTTAATCCAGGCTAGCCTGAGGGATCAACAACTCTCCGGGCCCACATTCACTCGGGTGCCTGCGTGTTCACAGCCCACGACGCATCCACGGATCTTCTCCGAGACAGTCTGAGCTCCAGGCTTCCACAGACCCATAACCATCATCCGAACGAACATCTCAAGGAGCATGACACTCACCGCCAACTGCGAGCGGAAGCTGCGCGATCTACATCTCACAATTGATGTAGCCGTAGGAACCGCATGAATCTTGCAACATGGCTCGGCAGGGCACCCGATCGATGACCATCTGCAGGAAGGCCACCTGCATCCAACGTGAAGCCATCAAGTTGCGGGGCGCAGGCGCAGGGCAGCCGTATTATGCAGGCGTCGTCCTCCGAGTTCGGATCCGAGAAGGGGCTCTCAAAGGCCAGCGAAATCGAGGAGAGAACGATGACGAACATCACAATCTCGGGCAGCCCAGGCGCATTAACTCCCGAGATACTGTGTCCTTCTGGGAACCAGGCAGGCTCGAAGCCAGGCGAGCGAATGATGCTCCGTGCACCTGGGAGAGCTTGGGAGAGACGAGCGCACCGCGACTTTGAGCGAGCCCTTCGTGTCGATTAGCTCTGCAGGGCCCAGACAGCCTCGAAGCAGCTCCTTAGAGCGAGGAACCCCAGAGTGCTTTCGTGCTTTCAGAGAGTCGGCCAGGGCTTGTCAGCGAGCTGCCGTGATCGACGGCTTCTCGTCAGGCAGAGGTGCACCGTCCCTGATGCCATGTGCCGCTGCATGCTGTGCGAAGCGGCATCACAAAAGCCCCGCTGCACCTGGGTTTGCTCTGCTTGTCCTCCTGATGCACGACAGGCTCGTCTTCCGGCAAGTCCTCCAAGAGAAGGCTCTTTGAAATCTGTATAGCTACCTGTTTCAGTGCCAAGTCTAGCTCAACGTCGGCAGTTTCAGGCAGGTTTCAAGCACATTGTGTGCACCCTGAAGACATAGTATCTTGTGGTTCCATGCTGGTCACCACTCAGCACCAACTTCCATGTTCCAGGTGTCCAGCATCCCATGCAGTTGGTCAGAGAACGCAACACAGCCTCTCCTGTTAAGGCAGACATGGCCCTGAAGGACAGAGGATTTACCCTTTACACTCGCGACTGCACAGCGGCGGCGTAGTTTGGTGGAACACAATCGCACGGCTTTTACTGCTCAACCGTACCGGTTTTACCACTGTTCGGGAGTCGGACATGTGGAAAACGTAGCAAGCATGGAGTTTCCAGTTGGCACCAAGAACAGACCTCAAGGAGAAACTGTTTTCTGAAACTCCAACCCTAAAAAGGAGATGTTGGCAAGAGCAAGCCCCAAACTGTAAAAGGGTATGTTGGCAAAGCCACATCATTAAAGGATGTTGGGGAGCAGCCAAAACCCTGAAAAGGGATGTTGGCGAGAGCAAACCCCTAACCGCAAAATGGCATGTTGGCAAGCCCACACCACACCCTAAAAGGAGATGTTGGGGAGCCAACCCGACACCCTAGAAAGGGAGATGTTGGCGAGACAACCCCAAATCTTACAAGGGTATATGTCGGGGAGCCAACCCAAACCCTAAAAGGAGATGTTGGCGAGAGCCAACTCCACATCGCTATGCTGGAACAACTACACCCCGAACGGGCTAACCAACCCAATGTTGGCGAAAGCAAACTCCAAACCGTAAAAGGGTACGTTGGCAAACCCACACCCTAAAGGAGATGTTGCAGCGACAACCTGAAACCCTAAAAGGAGATGTTGGCAAGAGCAAGCCCCAAACCATAAAAGGGTATGTTAGCAAAGCCGCATCATAAAAGGATGTTAGGGAGCTAACCCAAACCTTCAAAGATGTTAGCAAGAGACACCCAAACCGCAAAACGGTATGTTGGCAAAACCGCACCCGACAAGGAGATGCTGGGGAGCCAACCCGAAACCCTAAAATGGAGACGTTGCAGCCCGAAGCCGTAAAAGGGTTTGTTGGCAAAGCCACATCAGTAATGGTTGTTGGGGATGGCGAGAGCAAACCCCAAACCACAAAATGGCATGCTGGCAAAGCCACTCCCCCAATCCAAGAGCGAGACCGGGGCTGAGGAGTTGGGGCCCATTTGGTGTTCCGACGGTTTGGGTGTTCAGCTTCTCAGAGGGAGTTAAGGATTACTCCGGAACTCGCCTCCAGCTGCGACAGCAGAACGACGTCCCCGATGACTTGTGGCGTCCTTGTTGCAGCTAATTTTTCAACGCAGACGTTCAGGCCCTTGGTTCTTTTAAGGCTGGCACTCTTGCAACGTGACCTCCTGAATGCATGGGGCTTCATCGCATGACATCACAAATCGAAAGTCGAAAAAGTCCTTGCGCTCCGGAGGCATCATCCGATGCTCTGCATTCTCACGACACCTGGGAGGGAAAACGCTAAAGCAGCAGATAACATAGAACTCTAAGTGCAGCTTCGAGCTGTCCACTAGCTGAGCCCCAGTCTTCATCGCGCTTCGCAGTGGTGCTTCGGCATCCTGCAAGCCTCCGCAGCAAGAAAAGCCGTGAGGCTTTTGGGGTCCGCTCGGCTTGATGCGGCCGCCTGCACGAGTCCAGACGCGCGGCGGAGTGGCTCCGGAAGCCCGGCGTCTCGCCCGGCGGTAGCTTTCTATGAAGCTTTCCTTCATTGCTCGGCAGCAAGATGCCAGGAGGATTTTTTCCCAAGGAAATCACTCGCGTCGAGGCCTTTCGGGTGTCCGAGATGTCGGAGAGCTGCGTCCAGATCTGCGGAGCTTCGCTGGCAAGGAACATGGAGCAGCGCGGCGATGCGTAGCGAGTCCGGGACCGGGCGGCAGGTGAAGGGCTGCGAAGGACCTCCGCCACCCCCGCCCCCCAGCTCCAGTTTACGTATGTTCATGTATGTTCATGTTAGCTTCACAGGCCTGGCGGGCGATCGCTTGAGCCCACGAGACTCGCTCGGTCCGCCCCGCGACTCCGCTCGCACCGCTCGGCGTGGTCAACCTGGCATTGGTCACCACGCAGCGAAACGAGGGACAAGAGTGGAGGGGTTCGTTCCCGTCTTCCGAAGACCCTCCATTTCGGACAAAGTCCCCTAACCTTGGCACGCGAGTTCGCCGCTGAGGGGCTGCTGGCCTCCGCGAGCAGACATTTCTCCTTCTCTTCGTGCATCGACAGAGAGCTCAGCATCTGGCAAGGCCGATTTCAACGCAAACGAATCCTGACAGGCGTCGGCATCCGAGCAGGCACAGCCTGTTGTTCATGTTGTATGTCGGCTCAAGTTGTTCAATGCCTGGCTCGTCGGCGTCTGCACCCGCCGGCTCCTGCCAGTGAAAACGCCATGAATCAACCATGTCTTGTTGTGTAAGCTTCTCGAGCGTCGGTCATGTCTCGTCGCCTGGTCTTCCGGCGGTGCCGCCCCGTGCAAGGCTTCACGCTGCAGGCGGACCCCCGGCAGCAAGGCCTCACACGTCTTCCCACTAGAAGCCACTCGAAACCGATGAATGGAGCAGAATCGCACCTGTTCCGGCGGTGGTGCGCCATGCAGTGCATCCTCAAAACGCAATGACTGTCGAAGCTTTTGAATTCACTGCAGGCGCCCTGTGCACCCGGCCGTTTGCATCTCCACGGAGCTGAGAAACATCGCCTTTTGGCTGCATCCATTGCAGCCGAAACCAAAACGTTCACTGTCTGTCTGCCAATGTTCACCCTTGCATTCACTGTGAAATCAGTTCAACGACCGGTTAAGCCGTCTCGGAGCGAGCCTCCACATCCGTCATACCTTGGTCTGCTTGCGTACAAGCGGAAGGGATTGAGCTCAGGTTGAGACCTCGATCAGGAGGATGTCTCTCGCCCTTTGGCCTGCAGTTGGAGCAGAGACATTTCGGCAACTGCAGCAGCAGCAGCAGCAGCGGCAGCTAGAGGCTTCGGCCAAGAATACTTGCTCTTGCCCATGGCGTGGATCTTCCCAATCTCCTGTGGGGAAGTGGAAAAACCACAAAGCCACTGAAAAGCGTATCCCGGCCTGGAGCCGCTTCGCTGCCTGGCCCTTCACATGGATCATCTTGATAACGTCCATGTTCCTGATCACATCATGAAGGCCACCCTCCTTTTGCACTTGCCCACTGACACGAACAAGAACAGGTACCTGGATTCCTTAGTTCTGTGGCACGGTTGACCAATGCTTCGACACCGAGAAGTACGAGGGCAGAGCGACAGATGCGTGCATTACTACAACCTACAGTGCGCATGACAGCTTAGTCCAGCCTGGCACAGGTCTTCTCCGCCGTGCCCTCGAGACGGCTGAAGGCCTGCTGTGGCCAGCGCGGGGACTCCTGATGAGAGATGGGAGCGGCAGGACAGGCGAGCTTTCAGGCTTGTGGAGGTTGGACTTCACGATCTCTTTCCCGGCGCAGTAAACTACTCAGGGTTGCAGGGGGTCGTGGGCAGGGCAGTCCGGCGCGGCTTCTGCGTCGTCCTGCACGCAGGCAGTTGCCATCTTGAAAGAACCCGGGGCGTCCAACGCACGTCCCCGCGCCTCGGCTTCCTCCTTGTCTCGGCCTGGACAGCAACGTCTGCGCGCGCTCCGTACCAGACTTCCAACTCCTGACCCCAGGCAAGCCTGGCGTGGATCCCAGGGCAGCGTCGGTCAGGCGCAACTGCAGTTGGCAGATTTGGTGCGTGGTGACAAAGAGCCGTGAGACAATAATCGAGCCGGCGAGTTTGCAATCTCATGGCATTCCCCATGTTTGCGAGGGCGTGCGTAAAACGTGCACCATGAAATTGCTGAAGTCCTCATCTTGTGCATAGCACATGTGCACGAACAAATGATGATCTCGAAAGCAAGGCAACGTTATACGCTACAAATTCTGTTCAGAATCTTTTCTACCATGATGCAACCTGTTCTGCAGATGCACAAACTGTCGCCGACAGAAGAGTGCTGTTTTTGAAGCATGCCCCCGCCCGATTCTGCTACCTTCTGAGCAATAAGAGTTTCTACTTTCGCATAAGGTAGAATAAGGTAGAAGCCAGAAAGTTGGAATATCATTATCCCCATGGCCTTGAGGTAACGGAAGGGCGCTCCCAGCACTAATAATCCTTTAAACTCGTGTTCCAACTTTCCGGGACTCGCTATATAGTTCTGGAGTTCTATGTTTTTGGAGCTTTGTGTGCAGGATGTGCGGGCTGCAGGACTTCTGGGATTCGGGCTTCTGGATCTCTGGAGTTTAAGAGCTTAGCTTAGGGACTGCTCTCCAACTTTTGGTTCGACCGCAGCTGGACTTCCCGACCCACTGTCCCCCGCCCCTGCTTGCCCCCGCCCCCACTGCTGAACAGACGGAGGCAGAATCTGCAGCAGGCCAGCTGTTTGCGGAGATCATCGGTGCTGTGCCGTGGGGAGGAGCTGATTCTAGAGCCTTACAATTGCAAACCCCAGCCTTCCCAGCCCTTCCCGGCCTTCTCGAGCTTTGCTCTGGCAATGGCCATTCTGAGCCGAAAGTCCTGCAGGGTGACGGTTGGCAGCGCAGCAGTGACTCAGGGTCCGGTCCGCCCCCTTTGCGCCTGTTTCATGATGTCTCGTGCCACCGTAAACTCGGCGGCAATGATGCCCAGCAGCAAATTCTTCAAGACGGCCTTGCCGAGCCTCAACGAGCGGAAGAGGATTCCTAGTTACCTAGTTTGCACAGGCTCTGCCGGCGCCACTGGGGACTGCACGCAAAGGTGAGCAAGAAATAGAAAAATCCGAAGAGCTGATTGTCCTTTGCAGCATCAAAAGCTCGACAGAGAAAGTAATGCAGGAGTTGGCGCGACCCTCTTTTGATCTTCTCACAACTGCACAACTGCATCTCATGCATGGTCATGCATGCTGGCGATTCCCTCAGCGACGTGCAGGGCCGTCCTTGCCGTGGATCTGGTTGGTGGTGATGTCGAGCCAGCCGTCTCCGGAGAAGATTGCCAGAGATGTCAGGAAGCCCATGGCCTCGAGATGCGGAGGCAGCGTGGAGACTCGAGACTCGAGGGCCAAAAGACACTCGGCAACGGACCAAGGACTCGAAACCCAGGCCGAGCTTGCCGCTCTCAACTGGGCCAAGGCTGGATCACACAAGTGGGTGGCGTCTGCTCAAGTTTAGCCGTCTAGGCAGTACACCGTCATCTTTGTTGAAGATCTGAAGGCCCGCCAAGCAGGAGCAGTACAGAAACCTCGTGCTGCGCCCATCTCATCGCTTCCACCGCCAAGTCACAAGCTCTCCCCCCGATTTTCTCGGGCATCGGCAGAATAACGATCATGGAGAAGTAGAGGGTGGGCGTCACTGCCTTTCGCAGAACAAAGAGTCTTTCGTCACGGCGGTCTTGCAAAGCCCCCCACGAGGCCTTTTGAAACACCATCAGAAGGATTCGGAAGTTCCTCAGCGGCAGAAGAACATACACATAGCGACAATGCTGCAGACCTTAGCCTACAAGTCCACAGGGTCGGACCAAGCTAACGTCATGCAAGCCACATGCTCATGTGGATCATTCGGAAGATTCGCAAGAGTCTTGCCGTTCTCAGGGCAGACCTTGGAGTAGCTCGACTCATCTCGAGACTTTCCGTGGGCACAGCCTCTGAGAACAGGCCATCTTGGGACACTGCAGTGCAGACCCTCCGCTGAGGAAGAGCTCGACCACAGACAGCATGACCAGGAGAAAATCAAACCTGAAGTCCCGTCGCGGCTCTCAGGAGATATCTTATGGACTTATGGATGCACCCCACAAGAAGTGCATGCAGCCTGTTGCCGTTGTCTTCAAAGAAGGACACACCCACCCCCATGATCTTGATGCACACCTGTCGATCGGGCTGATCTCGAACTCACGAGCCGTGGGATAGCCACCTGGCCTCGAAGAAGAAGATGACAGAACACAAGAAGTTTATGTTGTCCAGGATGAGGAGCACCGTGTCATCCTTGCCGGCCAACCCATCGTCTTTCGGTCGAGGCAAGCCTATTGCTGACAAGAGGCGTAAGGGGGATAGATGTCAAAGCACATGCAGAGCGCATTGAAGAGAATGATGAAATTCATCACTCGTGAGAACCTGCCCAGCAAGCTCAAGGCGAAGCACGAAGCCGGTGCACACTGCCAAGGGCGCACCAAGGACTGGTGATCATGCTGTAGCAAATATTCTTGAGCCCCATCGACCGCAGCTCCTGCGATTGCATTGAGGCTATGCGACAGGCCAGGGCAGGAGTTCGGAGTGTCGGTCCGTATCCAGCACTTGAAAGGCCTGGGCAGCTGCCAGCTCGACCTTCAGAGCAGTCGAGGGGAAGCCCTGTTGGCCAGGAAGAATAAAAAGCGCCTCCAACTGCTGGACTGAACTTACCTTGCTGCTGGAAATTTGGACAACATGACCGATAGCTTGCCATACGCAGCCTCCTCGCTTGACTGTCATGTCTGGGTGCCAGACAAGGGCATGCAGGGGCATCTGCTGAATGTCTGGTGTGATCACCGGCTTCGGATTCATGCGCTTGGCCTGCATCCAAATCGAAGCGACTTGATGGCGGCTTTGTTTCGATCTCTCTGCCCGACCGTGTTTCCCGAAATATGACTATGATTCTTGCAGGCAAGCACACACAAGCGAACAACTGAAATCAACTTCAAATGATGCTGGCGCCCTGAAAGGCTTGCCTCCATCTTCAACTTGCTGTCTCCCAGCTCAGATCGGTCCTGCCCGAATCCAGCTGCCAAGCAAAGAGGGAGGGCAGGTCCAATGGTAATCAGATTTAACTAACTGGCGACTGGAGGTCCTCTTGCACGGTCGTGTCAAAGGAATGCCAAAGTATCGCCAACACCAAGTTCATCAGGATCAAGCCTGCGGAGTGCACGATGCCGCGAACCACAGCGTCGAATCTGCGATCTCTGAGAATCTCTGAGAGACTCGACCTCCAAAGAGCATCAACAGGATGAAGAAGGGAATGGTCAGGCCGGGCCACTTGGCATCCTTCGGGTCCAGAAGCCCTCCCCCCACCCTCCGAAGGTCGTGAAAGCGGTGATACGATGCTGAAATTCAGAACAGTGGAGACAGCAGCGGTCATGGACCGGAACTTGCAGTTCAACATGGTGTTGTGCAAATGAAACTGACCGATCGAACATCATGTTAACTTCCAGCGAAAATGCGTTTCTGTGTGAAACCCGTTCCCAGTTCCGCCAAGCTTGCTTGGCTGCGTCCTCGAAGCGGTGCATCAGGCTGACCCAGCCGTCAATGTTCACCACCTCCAACAGAATGCCGAAAGGATGGAAGCGCTCGCGTCGAGGCTCGCGCCCCAGGCCTGAAAAGTCGTCAGGAGGCCGCTCCACAAGGTCTGATACCTCAGAAGGGCTCAAAAAAAGGCAAGCCTACAACTGCCTCGGGATAAGCCAAGGCCAAGCACCCCGTGAAGCCATAGTCAGCCTTGGCAGCTGCTTTTGTTTATGCAGTTGTCACAATGGGCCGGAGCTGCCGAGCGTCCAGGGGATTCTCGAAGAGCTCTGGCCACGGATTGTAGCCGGGAAGTGGCCCCGTGTCCGTACTCACCTTGCGAAGTCGGCAGCCGACGCATCAAAGCAGCTCCCACCATTTCTCTCTCCGAAAGCCCGAGGACGACACTGGAGACCTACAGTAGGTCGCAGCACCGGATGGTGTTGGTACCTGGGGTCTCATGTGCTGGCCGCGCCCTGGAGCACCCCGCGTCAGCATGACTGAGACGATCTAGATTACGCCACGGGCCTTAAGCAACTCCAGCTAGGCTCGCGCACACACTCGTAGCGGCCACCGCAGAAGCGCGGTTGACTTGGGTCCAGGGGCCTCTGCGAAGCAGACTCGAAGCGAAGGAGCTTCAACAGGACTCAGCTGCGCGGCCAAACCAAGGTGCCGTTCACAAGGTAGGGCTCTTCAGAAAGCCGGCAGCGCCTTCGACCGTCCCCAGAGTCTGCCGGACCATTCAGCACAGGCCGAAGGCCTCCAATAAACATCTCCAAAGAGATCTGTCCTCGAGACAGCAAGCAAGTGGGAGAGATCCGGAAAAGACGACCTGCAAGCATAGTGGTACGCAAAAGTAAGCCTCACACCCAGCCATGCTGACCACGATCAGGGTGAAGGTAATCGCAAGGGACGAGATCCAGAGGCGGTACAACTGAGGAAACCCGAAGACTGCTTCGAGTTCCTACGTCCTGCCACAAATCCGAGGTCTGCACGCTCTTTGAAAGAGCCTGTACTATGGTCCTGGCGGCATTCGGCACATACGCACATTACGTGTTGAACTCCTTACAAGGTGTCCTCAAGCGTGGCAAGAAGGTCATCCCCCTAATGACTCGGAAGACCTGCTCCACTGATTGGCACGAGTGCATGATCGCATGATGCTATTGTGCAGCTCGTTCTTCCCTACCCCCCTCTGCCCTTGTAATGGCTTCGGGAATGAGCCGCGGACCCGGAAAATGCGGAGGACTCTCATCGTCCTCAAGTCTTGTTCGGAAATCACCTGAAATGCTGAGCATGAGCCACAAGTTAGACCAGCCCCCAGGCTCTGCTGCCTAAACGATCCTTCTCCAACCACACGCATGCGTAGATGAGGCTGGAGCTTCTGCAGCGAAGGGCTCCACAAAAGTAAAAATGACCTTGCTTGTGGAGGCCAGAACAGATTTCCAGCCCAGGATCCAGCCCCGGGCTCCCCACCACCATCATGTCTATCCAGTTGGAGGGCTCTTTCAAGTAGCACGGGTTCGGAGCATCGCCTGCGGCTTGTGCTTTGGTCAGATCGCGCGCGCCCGCAGATGCCTCGGGAACTTAAGACTGCGGCCGAAAAAAAGGCCCTGGGCAATAATCCGGCATGTGCATTCGATGGTGAAAACAGCCTGGCACATCCAGAAGAGCAATGACTGAAGGCACGAAGTGACCGTAACTTCCCGGCACTGCACAATGCCGCCCGGTCGACCGAGACCAGGGTTTCAAACACAAAGTAGGTGTTCTGTACACCTGCCAAAAGCACTGGGTGGGGGTCTGCGGTGAACACGTGCAGTTGGAAAGGCGCGTCGGTCGGTCGGGTCGGCCTCTGGGCTGACTTGCCTCGTCGTATGCAACAGGATGTGCCATGACCTGGCGAGCAGAAAGCTTCGGACACGGTGAAGGCCAGGCTCAAGCTGGCAGAGGCCACCAAGGCGTTACAAATGATCAGGATGATGACGAAGTTCTCGAAAACACTGGTGCGAGGCGATGCAAAACTGAGAGACTTTGCCATGAGCCCTCGAATGAGTGGTATACAACAGAAAGAGAGGGGCACGCCAGGAGTTGCCTCCACTCAACAAGCCACAGCATTCGGTAGCGGAAGCGCTCAAACATGGGGATCTCCTCGTCATGAACGGACTCGAAGCAGCGAGAGTTTTGCGCGAAGTCTTGTTGTTTCGATTCTCAGGAGCATCGCTCGCCTCTCTGAAGAAGCCGCAGGAAACTTTCACAAGCCGTAGCTCTTTGCCGTGCACCGTTGCCTCAAACAAAGCACGACATCACATGTCTTGAGTGAAGTCAGTAATGGCGCTCCGTGATAACTTTTCACTGGCACAGGGCTCGAACCGCCCAGTAATTCGCGTCTTGCTTGGCTTTGTCAAGCACATCCTGCCGCTATGGATGGCTCAAGCAAAGCTCACGGTTTTATGCCAAGACATGCGGCTCACCAGGTAGGCATCGTAGAAGGTCATCCGACACCGGTGACCTGAAAGCAAAACTGAAAATAACAAGGAACTGATGGAGCCCCTGCTTGAGACTGCCACCATGCAGCGTCCTCTGTTGGAGAATTCGCCTCCGTGACAGTCGGATGGTACTGAAAGTAGCGGCCAGGTAGAACCCCGGAGCAGAACGAGGCTTCACTACATGAGATCGTCTTTGCCAAGCAACCGCTGCTCAAGATCTGTCATGTGGATGTCTGGCGCCATGGCCGCTTCGCCTCACGCTTCGAAAGCTCCATGATACTGTTCGTGCCGTGGCATGCAAAGAACGTGCAACTGGCCCGGCCTCACGTGGCGAAGCACACAGGCTCGCAAGGTGAGAATTCGCAAAAGATGTGTTAGTTATCAAGCAAGCGATGCACCAATGTTCGAAAGAAGATAGATGTGTACGGACTGTTGTTGAGCTTAGCATGAACAATCATGCACACGTTGCTAAAGAATTATGCGGTCCGTCCCTCGCACATGCCATGATTCGGCTGACTTGCTATCTATCTTGGCTGAATCTTCCCGATGATTGGCACTGCGGCCCGCCGGGATCCTACCTACTGTCCTATCTAGAGCCCGTCACCTCCATCCAGTTTGGAGAGGCTTGGGCCTGCGTCAAGGCTGACCTAGGCTTGCGACACTCCACCGGTCCACTCCGAGAAAGCTTGAGATGCAAAGGGCTCGCACCGTAGAGGAGGGTGCTGCACCGTCCGTCCATGCCTCCCTCCTCCGGTCTCGGGCCAAGCGCTGCGACAGAAATGCAAAGCTGGAGCAAACTCTGCCCCAAACTTGTCAATCTCAGTGCCGAACGGCCACAACAAACAGCAGTGGAGGCATTTTACTCACCACAGCAGCTTTGTGCTAAATGCGGAGTCTAGATTGCACCAGTTCCTCAGACACTAAAGCCCAAGAGCCTACGTTTTGTTGGCACAGCCTCAATGTCAAGGCATGTGTCTTGCACATGTTGGCTCGCCAGAAGCATCTCACACTTGTTCACGAGACAGCTGATGGCATCGGATGACCGAACGTCAGAGCGCCTGCAGGCCCGGAAGTATCACTTGGGGTGCATCGCAGTGCTTATCCGTCAACGCCGTTAGTAGACACCGTCAACAGACCGTTCGGAAACTCAACTGTTCGTTGACCGATGAGGCCTCATCCATAGCTTGACCGGGATCCTGATTCGGCAACTCTGCAAAATCAGCCGAGGCAGCCCATTCGTGCTAGCCGAGCAGTCCAGAAGCGAGAGCTCAGTCTGCTCGGCATGCTGGCGACCCCTGGCCAGGCGCCGGCAAGTCCATTTCCCAGTGGCACAAACACCCTCGCCCTCGCACCTGTCAGCCCAGGTAAGAGCCTGGCGCGCGCATGCTCGGCACGACTGAGGCAGAAGCAAGATTTTTGTCGATCTAGATAGAGCTTTCAGCTTCTTGCAGAGCATGGCATTCGACCCTCTCAGGCAGATCATCACGCTGCACCATGCTCGCACCGGCATTCACAGCTACTGTCAAAGGACTAAAGACCTGCTCGTCAAGCGGTGCAAGGTTTCGTCCATCCAGAGCAGAAAACTTCGTTTCCAGGCACTTTCCTCGGGATGGAGTCTCTCGCCCTCCCTCCGCGCCTGCAGCCGACCAGCGACCACGGACAAAGTCACCAAGGCCGCCTGAGACACCATGGAGGCACGAGACCGAATCGAGCACCAGAGCTCTGGGAGCTCTGGTCCTACTCGGCTACTCCAAGTCAAGCACCAAAAGGAAGCTTGCCAGGCTCAAGTGGCTGAGCCTGTCCGTGACGGATGAGTTGTTGTTTCTTCGTCCATGTGCTGCAAGCATGGCCTCCTCTCCATTTCAGCCTGTGACTGCTCGTGGCGCAGATGTTTGCCTCTGCTTGACGAATCATACGCCTTCGCCGGCAGGCTCGCCAGCATCTGGAATTTCTCAAGGCAGGCCTTGCAGAAGTGGCGGCTGAGTGTTGTTGAGCCCCACATCTCGCTGATTTCGGGCACAAACATTGGAGTCACTTGTTCGTCATCGCAAAGCCTGCCTTGGGCCCGCTGACAGCGCGAGGATGTTCCTGCTCCACGGCCTTGAGTTCTGGCAGGCACAGGTCTCCCGCACTCGTGACCGAAGGCGCACGCTCAAGTTGCAATCCAAGCAGCCCTGGATCCATGCAGCAAGCACCTGTTGGAGTCCAGCCGGTAAGTGAAGACGTCGCATCCCCCCGACATCTTGCATCGCCTCGAGCACAAACTCTGTGCTGTGCTGCGCCGTGCAACATGATAACAACAGATGCCGAGGCAGCGGTGAAACTTCTGAGCTGCAAACTGCTGACATTCCGAAGAGCTCGTAGCGGCCATCGACGACACCAAGTTGCCGTGGTAGGCAACACCGATTCTTCTGCATGCATCCTGGGCGTGACCTGTCTCAAGGGTCGCGCGCAAACCTGGCGTCGCAGCAGGCTCCGTCTCCGTAACGATTGGCTTGGCGCATGCCTTGGGCCCACTGATGGCCATGTCACTCGCAAAGGTTGTGACGTTGTCATCCAGCAGCCAGCAACCTTTGGAGTCAATGTAGTATGTGAACCTGCTACAAAAAGACAGGGTCTGGCAGGAGTACTGGCAAGCGTTGGCATCTGCAACATAAGTTGGTGTCTTCATTGTTGCATGACGATATGCTTGGCCGCGGTTGGAGCAACTCGGTCGAGGAATAGATCGCATCATGACCAGCTGGCCGGCCCGTGTGATGTTGTGCCCAGACTCGTAGCGATCACTTTCCACAGCTTGTACACAGAGCTTGGGCCCACTGACAGCAAACTCGCTTTCATGTTGCGTCACGTTGGAGCCCTGAAGCCAGCATGCCCCAGTGTTGTTGTAGAAGGTCCAGAACTGACACGTTGGTTGTGAGTTGCAGCTTGTCGCACAATCCTGCGGTGATCCCACTATGCCACCGTTCATCACCTCCAAGGCAATGCGACTTCTCCGTCGCAAATCAAGACAAGTGCCTGGCCTGCACACTGGAGTCGAAGAAGGCCTTTCCCCGGAAGGAGCATTTCGGCCGCAGCCCGCCTCGAAACCCCCGCCCGTACAAACGTGAAGGAAACCCGACCACCCCGCTCCTTGGTATGGCACAGGCGCCATGGTTACGGTAGCCTCTGCGACCACTGCGGCCTGCAAGACTTCTGCATGGCAAGCTTGTCCATGTTCGGAGGATGAAACATGCCAGAGCCAAAGACTGCATCGGGGGCCTTAACGGCCGCAGGTGCAGGTGGCCTCAACAAGACGCTAGATCTCGGCAGTCACATCGGGAAAATACAACCTTGCAGAATCTTTATGCTTGGCGTGCGACGCACAGTTTTTCAGACCGCTGGTGCCGAATGTGTTGCCAATGAGCACCAACTGGGACACAAGCATGCACACAGAACAGCGGCATTTACACCTTCACACTTTGAGGCGCCGTTTCAATACAGTTGAATATAGTTCCCATGATGTCCAAGTCCAAGGCTTCCGGTGTCATGGGCAGCTGCCAACACACTTGCGAGTCGCTCAGGTAGGTCCATGCCTCGTGGCCATCGAAGGCAAGCAAGTGCATTGGTGTCAGGTGGCCGAACCGCCTTTAAATAGCTCAAGCGTCATGTAGAATTCCAATATCTGAGGACGATGCATCACATCCAGCTTGTAGCGCACAGGCCTACAGTAGAAAAAGCCATGCCAGCAACATGGCGCTTCTGACAAAGTCTGACAAGGAGACTGGGGTACCGGCAGCCTGGCACTGTACAGCAGAGTCCGAGTACCCCACGTCCTGAATGTTAAGAGATCCCCCGATAATTTGCAGAGGTTGCGGTCACTGGATGGAACACGGCTCATGCGGCAAGATCCCATGCGGTCTGCAAGAGAATGCGACAGAATGCTGCAAAACGCTTCTCACCAAACTAAGGCTGCTGCAACAGGATCCTCGGAATCATCATAATACGTGGAGAACTTCTTGATGCAAGATTTCGCATCATCTGTTGCTCCTCGAGAACCGCACATGCTTCGTTATGCTGCAGAAGGCAAGTTGGTAGTAGAAAGCCCCTCATTTCAAAGAGATGACCCTTACTGTAACAGTACCCCCAATCTAGGAGTCCAGGGTCACAGCCCAGGAACGCTCTCACCTGCTGTGTAAACTTCGAATGTGAGAGGGAAATGATGCGTGTACCTTGACAGAGACAGAGGGGAGGCCGCGAGCACCTGCTAGCCCCGAAGCTGGTTTTATCCTCTTCCCTCTCACTGCATTGCGAAGACCTTTCTTCAAAGTTCCATCAATAAGGAAGACTCTGGGCAGATACTTCGCTGTCTGAGGGCTCCTGCGTAGGCCACACAGGCCAAGAGCACAGCTCGGCGGACCATGGCGATAGCGATCTTCGCTCACGCTTCGATGCAAAAGTCTACTCGACCAAAAGTCGATATGTCACCTCTTTGTCATGTGTCAGATTGATGCAATAGGAACGTCTGTAATTACACATGACATGCTGATGGAGGCCTTCATGTGCTCAGCAGCTCTGCATAGAGACATGAAGTCAAAAACCGACCTACAACGGGATCCGGGATGGAGGTCTCGTTTCGGGTGGTCACACTTTTTGAGAAGCTGCTCCCTTGAGGATGTGCCGAAGTCGGCTAAATTCCGTGCCCCTTAAAGGGCCATAAAAAACTACAGGTGGAGTCCGAATGCTTTCAGCATGCGGCCACTTCATAATTGGGAACTAAAACCTTCTTTCAAAGAAGGAGACTTTAATGGCGCACAGCACAGCAAACCAAATAGCTGTGTCTACTATTGTCTATACTGATCCCTTCAGTCATTCAGATCCGCGTAAAGACCATAGGAGTCCAAAATCAACCTGGGAAGAAGGGGCTCCTGGCGAAGCTGCTCTTGATTCTGCATTCCAGGTGGTGCTTCCTTTGAACTGCAACACCACCAACTCCCGCCTCCATCAGGAGATGGGCCTGTTGCGCAAGATGTGACGGAAGAGTCTGCTTGAGCTTGTCTTTGATGGGAAAATGCCTTTGCTCGCAGCGATGCCAACTCCTTCCGTGCATTCACCATGCCGGCCTCAGCGCATCAAATTTGCCGCAGAACAACAGGAAATGGCTGGGTCCAAAGCCAGCTGCTTGCGAATATTCAGACAGCGCTGGTTGATGGCGAGCCCCTGTCACAAACATGGGTACATTAAGTCAGCGCAGGAGCTGAGTGAGGACACCAGAACTCAATCTAGGCTGCAAGGAATGCTTGGGCTCACTACACCTTCAATGCGATGCACAAATTTTCAAAACAAGTCTGCAGGATATACCTCGGTCGAGTCATTGTTGGCCATCTCTAACCGCTGCTTGATGTTCTGCGCGATGTGCCCCCTTGCGAAATACACTACTTTGATGCATGTGATATCACTCTTGCCTCGACAAGCCCCCACAGCCATGCTGCGTCCTGAAAGGATCCGACGGATTCGACTTGGACTTCACCTGAACTTGATACGTGCATCTGCCTTTCGTCTGCAGCTGCTTGGATGTCTGCTCTGAGCCGAGCCGCGAGTCTTACAATTCGTTCGCGTTCATCCAGCGCCTCCTGCTCCTGTAGCATGTCCTGCAGACACGAAATCCACGAAATCTCGCCGCAAAATGGTGGTAAAAGGGCTCCAGGCCTCGCCCTGCTCGAGAGGAGTTTTCCAGCTCTTGGGACCTTCCGTGAGAAGCGAAGGAGCGATGGCAACTGACTGGACCGAGGCCCCCGGGGCTGCCGCTCCACTTTGCGGCTGACCCCTTTCTGTCCTGAAAAAGCCAAAGGCAGACCTTCAAAGTCACCAGCGCCCTCAGGTCGTTGCCTCGAGAGTTTGAAGGATTCGCTGGCCAGCTCGCTGTAGAGCAAGCATCTGTTTCGACGCGAGGCGAGATCTTGCAAGATGAGCGTGCAAACGCAGTCCTCCTCTGTGCGGGGTGTGGGAATACTACGATGGTGGTGGTCAGGCGAACGGGACCTGGAGCTCAAGCCAGGCAAGTGCACTTGCAATGGCGCGATGGTGCAAAAAGGCAACTGGGTCTCGACAGCACCGATGCTCGCGCAGGCGTGCCGGTGTCGGTGAATAACGGCGTCGTGCTGGCCTGCGCAACGCACCGCAAGTAAAGTAAACAGCGAAGGTCTGGTGCCAAAGTGCCCGGCTCTCTTCGAGATGCCTCGAGCGACTTTCCACAACACGCTGCATCTTGACAGTCGCCCCCAGCTCCCCCCAAGAGCACTCTTCCACCGTTTTGCGGTGCCTCGATTCTTGCACGTTCCCCACCACATCCCCCACCACCAATCTGGATCTTGTCGAATTCCAATCCGCACGTGTGTTGGGACAAACGACATGGTCGTTCGCGTCCATGTTTCCGGCGGTCGAGTTGCGACTTCAATATCTGGCTTCGGATCACTCGAGATCGTTTTTGCAGGCGACAGCTCTAACTGACTGCGGGATGCCTTTCCTGCAGATATTCTTGTTGACCGGCAATTTTGTCATGACAGTTTGAAGGTAGTGTACCTGATTGCACATGTAGGCTTCAGGGCCGGTAAAACACTTTCAAACCAGCCGACAGCTGCTGGCGGAAAACCGTTCCTAACTTCTCCTCCTCCCTCCCGTTCCGCCTCCTTCGCGCGTTGATGATTCCTGCCCCCGCCATCACTGCCAGTGCCAACACTATTGCGCGGATCGTTGAAGAGGCAGATCTGCATTGATACTGCATGTGTGACGACGTAGTGCTTCCTTGCTACTCATGAGCTGGGCACACCGATAAGGTTCTGATGGAGTGGTTGTTGCTGCTGCTTCTGCTGCTGCTGCTTCTGTGGCGCATGGTGCTTCGAGTGCTACTGCTGGTGCTGATGTTGTGGATAGTGCGATGTGCTGCCGTGTGCTGCCAGGGGCTGCCATGTGCTGCCCTTTGCTACGAAGTGCTGCCATACGCGGCCATGTGCTGCCATGCGCTGTTGGTGCTGCTGGGGCGCTTCTGGCTTCTGGTGAGGCTTGAAGCTTACTTGCTGCTGCTGATGCTGGTGCTGCGGGTTGCTGGTGCTCTTGCCTGCTGCTGGCTGCGGGTTGGTTGCTGCTGCCACTGCTGATTTCGGTGTGCAGATGCTAGCCGCGCTGGAGGAGGGTTGGCGGCCGTGGTCCTCCATTCACTCTTGTTGATGAATGTGGTGCTGTGGCTCTCGGCCTTGTCTGCCTTGTTGAATGTTGATTGATCACTGTTATTTGTTCATGCTGAGCTAGCTACTTCCAGGTCATGCACTCTAAGCACGCTGCCACGCCAAGTCTCACCTCCGTCTGCCTCACGAGCGAAGCACGAGTCTTCCCATTCTCAAGATGGCGGCACCCAGGACATGAATGCAGCTTCGAGGCGTCGTCTGTGTCAAGCCTTGGCACATGGCGCATCGCAGACGTACACAATATCACCATGTAGCTACGAACATGTGCATGCGCACGCGTCCATACATCCACCCAGGCACAGGTATGCCACGGCCAAACCGACAAGACTGTTTGGGCAGATCTTCGCATGATTGTGTACGCACACGCATGCTGTACAAAGCTTAGAACAAGTAACACTGGAACTGAGAGACTATCATCCGAAATAGCATCCCGACAACAGGTCTTACAGGCTCCTGCAATAAACCTCGTTGTTCCTCAGAGCGAGCAGCAGGATGAAGCTCCTTCATCTGTGTACTATGAGCAGGAAATACAGTTGTGGCCCAATCTCGCTGTTCTGCACTGTCCTTACGGCGTGCTCAAGGGTACTCGGCTTAGGGAAGCAATTGAAAAAACAGGTACCTATGTGTGTATGCAAACGTATATAGATATACGCGTGTATGTATGCATGCATGTGTATGTACATATGCTTGTGTGTATGTTTGTTCCATGCTTCCTGTTCTGTGACATTCGTTGCAAAAAAACACAAAATGCATAAACATGCACGTACATACATACATACACATATACAAACATACATACTACATATATACTGCATACATACATACATACCTACGTACGTACATACATACATACACAGGTGCACACGCACAATTGAATGCATAGGTACAAATGTGTGTGTGTGTGTATTATATAAGTATGTATATATATATATATATATACAGTGCATACAGAGTTACATGGTTACATACATACATACTCACATACATACAGACAGACAGACAGACAAGACAGGCAGCCATGAATGCAGACATGCATGCGAACATGCATGACATGCATGCAGGCATACCAGACGTGCCAAAATACGTCATGCCTACCTGAATGCATACTACAGAGACACAGGTGCGTAGAATCTACCTAGCTACCTTTTACGCACACATACGTGCATGCTGCCTGCACATGTAGCTCCCGAACCTACGTCGAGCAAACAAACCAAGTGGGGATTTGGACAGTTTGACTCGGTGAATGTGGAGAACCTAACGATGGCTGCTCGAGATATGAAACTTACGGAATCTGTCGGGATAGAACTTGGTGGAAATAGAGTCTTCAAGAATGCAGTCTGAAACTAAAGCCCGGCAAGAGGCGGGGACACAGAACACAAAGACTTCAGGCTGCAGAACGTGGACACAGATTCGGGGGCTATTTGGGGCCTTGCGCGATCTGATTCTGGACATCAGCGCCACTGCTTCAATACAACACGTACATATACATCAACGACAGCTTACTGCTCGCTATATGCTTGTCCACGTTCATGTACTTCTGAGCAAGCTACAACACCTGCGCGTATATAAGATTTGCATAACCACATGTGTAACGTATATGCATGCATACCTGCATGCACAGAAGCTCATAAACAGCTAGACATATAGACAAGAACACTAATAATCACTAATATACAGAAATCCATACATAGAACGGGTGTCTCAGGCTGCAGCTGCCCTGCAGGCAATGTGACAGACCACGTCACCTGCGACAAAGGTTCGATTCTCAAGTAGCTGGACAAGGCAACGCTTCGACAATTCAGCCAGGTCAAGCCCTAGGTCTGGAAAATCCTACAGCCTTGCTTTGCTGCGAACTGAAACTGCCAGGTCCCAGCCTTCCAGCGAAGATCAACGACGGAAAAAATGCATCTCCATGAAAACAGGGGTTTGGTTGGAATTCGATCTTAATTCCGGATTTAAGTCAATTGTAATCCGAAAGGAGCGGCTATCGAAGACGGGCATTTGGGCACGGATTAAAATCGATTTCCAGCCGCTCTGGTTTCAGTTCCTCGGTGCAAGTACAGATTAAAATCGATTTTAATTTAAATTTTATCTTGGCATAGAAACGGATAAGATCGAGTTTAATCCGCCTTTGGCGTCACGTAGTGTCGGGAGCCATCGTCCACCCCCTTTGAATATA